AGAGAGAGAGAGAGAGAGAGAGAGAGAAAAAAAGGAAGAGGAATGCCTCCGCTGCAACGAATCATGCCGACCATCGAAGCAATACTGTTGTTCACGAGGCAACGATCCGATCTTACGTTGGGGGATCAATTCGATCCTTCGAAACGACGTGTGAAGGAACAGGCTCTTGCAACAAACATGACGTTTGGTTGAACTTTTTGGGCTACGAGTTCGATGCTAGTAATTGTAAACGAAGCTGCGCAACGCTCGAAAAAAAACCATCGGAATGTAACAATGTTCGGCTTAATGCGCCACAAGGGAAACGTGTTTAACATCGAACCGTTCAATTGGTCGATTTAACGGTATCGTGTACGTTCACGTGCTCACGTGAAAGGTATGTGTGCTTGTCAAAACAGAAAACGCGAAAAGACCTTGTTCCGCGCGAAGAATATTCCGTTCCTCCGTGAATTATATTTTCAGGAATAGGAAACTGGAAAAGCGCTTTTCCAGCCGATAAATAATCTACATTCTGTTACGTTATTTTTCGAAATTTTTTTCGATCATGAATAAAAAAAAAAAAAAAAGAAAAAAAAACGTAGAACAATCTAAATAACTTAACGGGAGAAGGAAGGGAAGAAAGAGAGAAAGAGAGAGCAGATACCTATTTTTTCCGCAGCAAAAGAACGAACCTCCAAGTGAAAAGTACTTGGCCAATTTGGACACAGGGGTGCACGTCAGAAAAGCGCGTGCGTGGGACAGTCACACAGGCAAGAAAACAAGCGAGCAAGCCAACAGCAGCAGCAGCAGCAAGCAAGCAAGCAACCAACCAACCAACCAACCAACCAACCAGGCATCTCAGTCTCTTCGGTGTCCCCGGCTGCACATGTGTGCAGGGCATGAGGTCGCTCTCCTCGTCGTTCAATGTGTGAGAGCTCGACTGCCCTCTCCCCCGCGTGCTGCCGGAGCGCGACGTTGCCGACTGTGTTCGATGCTTGGACGGGCAGTGATGCCGGTATGCGTGTAGCAGGGCGCGGCGTTGCCATATCGACCGTACCTCATCACCGGGGAGCGAACC